AGTGAAGGAGTGAGTGAGTGAGTGAAGGAGTGAGTAGGTAAGTGAAGGAGTGAGTGGGTGAGTGAAGGAGTGAGTGGGTGAGTGAAGGAGTGAGTGAGTGAGTGAAGGAGTGAGTGAGTGAGTAAGTGTGAGTGAGTGGGTGAGTGAGCCAGCGAGCTAGCGAGCAAGCGAGTGAGTTTGTGGTTTGGAGGAACTGCAGCAGAAAGAATTTAGGAGAAGCCTTGGGCCAGCTTTGTGCAGCTGTTGCATTTGGGTTTGATTTTTTTTTTCTTGAATAGTGATTATAGATTTTAAAGGTGGTCGTTGGGAATGTAAAACTGGTATCCCAGCACAGAAGACTGGCTGAGTTCCTTTACAGCTCCTGGTCTGTCTTTCAATCGCAAAATGAGGATAACAGAAATAGCTACCTCGGAGGGGGCTCATGAGCCTCAGTTAAGCTTTAATATGTAGCACAGTGCCTGGTACGTAGTAAGTGCACAATAAAACCTGTTCAGCTACTTCTTCCATAGTGTTTGCAGGCCAGTGTGTCCAGGCATCCCGTGCAGTAGGTTCAGTGTTAGGCTGTCAATGGAAAGGTCTTTGGTTTAAGCTCATTCTCCAGGACCAGGGAGCGGCAGTCTGCTTCTGGCAAAATTGACAGCCTCAGAGACACTAAAGATCAGGCCCACTCTGTCCTGCAGGAATCCACTCTGCCCCACAGGTGAGAGTGTAGTGTGCTGTGCAGGTCAAGGTCCCTGCCCCCTCAAGAGCTTAATTCCGGTCAGAGGGAACAAAAACAGGTAACCAAGGGTGAATAAGCCTTCATTTGGGGAGATGATGATATGGAGAAACGTAAGCAGGGTTAGGGACTAGGATGGGGGTGGTAAGGGAAGGCATTCTGAGGAGGCCACCTTAAATGTTGAGAAGGGTGGCACCTATCTGAGGGGTCGATGCCAACTCATAGTGACCCTATAGGACAGGGTAGAACTGCCCCTGTGGGTTTCTGAGACTGTGACTCTTCATGGGACTAGGAAGCCCGTCTTTCTCACATGGCACAACTGGTGGTTTCGAACTGCTGACCTTACCGATCACAGCCCACTGCATAACCACCATGCCACCAGAACCATGGAA